GTACTTTAAGTGGAAAGGGAAAGCATGGATGATGCTTTTCTATGGATCTGAATTAAGGGAAAAATGCCCCCTTTTCCATCACCAGAGAGGTTTAACGCAAGGAAAACTACTCTTTTCCCCAATATCTGAGGGGTTTAAATTAAAGGGGAGAAGCCATTTCTTTACCACTGCATCTGTTTAAATGCAGTTAGCTGTCCCATTTGCTCATTTTAAGTGTTGCCTTTTCCAGCATTTCAAGGGTTTAAAGCTGCATTTCAGGGCACTTTTACCCACACCCCGGCACCAAATATCTCCAACGGGGGCGAGGCCAGCAGGTATGTAATCGTAATGCCACCTGGGAGTCCATTCTTTTTCTTATTTTCATTTATAACGTAGAGAGCTCTGATTAAAGGTCCCTATGAGACACCATCCAAATCAATACTATTCTTCTCCACCCTAATTAACCACAGGTGGAATGCTACTTAGTAATCACTGAAAAATAATTATGGAAGTCCATAAATTATCCAACTTAACTGGCAACACTGCTGAAACACAAAGTTTTTCTTCTTACCTTTTTTTTCTCCTTTGCTCCATTGTTCTGAGTAATTGTAGCAAAAAAGAAAACACTGTTTTTTCCCAGAGTTTTCTTCTATGCAGAGCTCCTTACCTCAAATTTAACTCAGAGAAGCCAAACAGCTACGGTCCCTCTGAGGGCCTTTATACCCGGTGGGATTTGCCGCCTCCCCTTTCCCAGGCATCGTGGGAAAAAGAGGTGGGCCCAATTAGGGGTATATTAACCCCAGGCTGTGCTAAGGGGCATTATTCCCTCCAGGGGAATCAGTGGGAGTGAAGAGCTCCTCTCTCATTTTGGTGAAGAGGCTCTTTTAAGTTACTTCAGCCTGCTAAAAGCAGGTATATTTTGGGCATTTGAAGCAGCAGAAGTTTTGAAAACACCTCGAAGAAAACAATATTGAATACAGGGAGTATTTAATTTCTTGATTTTGGGTTGGGGGTTCAGGGGCAATAAGATGCTTCTATAATGACTCTTCTTCTTGGATTTTTTTTTTAGGAGGATTGCAATTTCCAGAAGTTCTAGGTCACATCAAGTGCGATATTTCAGATTCTCTCAGCAGACTCATAGTAACACAAAAGGGAACCGCCCCCGCAGCAGCTTTCCTTAGCAGCAGATCGTCCTCTCGCACAGATTCACTTTGGAGAGATAAGTCGAGGGCTGTGGTCACAGAGGGGATCAAAGCAGGGCGGTGGGGTAGGATTCACACTGCTTAGGGGTTTTGAGTCAGCTTATGGGGAGGGGAAGGTTTGAGAAATGGCCTCTGGGGCCACAGTGAGGGAAAGGCTCACCTTAGCTAACAATGCTGAGGTGGGCAGGGCAGAGCAGTCCCAGGGTGGGTTGTCACTTGTCTCTTGTGCTTTCTGTATCTTCTGTGCATCTTCTGTAATGTTTCTCTTGCCTTAGCCCTTCCAGGAGCTTATAAGAAACCCCAGGTCCTTCCGTTCATCTCCCATCTTCGTGTTCCTCGGCCCGACGCCGGCAAAGCTTCGATTCGGGAGCTCGGACTCGCATCAGAATCACATCTGTCTTTAGAAGCATGTGATCATATGTTTCTTTAGGTCTCATTCTCAGCTGTGTTGACAGCTATGTGCAGCAATGTTTCTTTAGAGTGGATAAGGACTTGTGCCGATTCAAAGGCAGGCAGAAGCTTCCAGCCACAGGATTCTCAGGCATCCATCTCTGCGGTTCTTGGAAAAAGTTGTTCCTTTAGCATCTTTTTCCTCCAGGGTCATCCGAGCCCGGCAGGCTCGCCTTCGGTCCCTCCTCGGTCATCTCGTTCAGCATTCTCTCGGTCCTCGTGAGGACTTTCTTGTCTCAGAGTTTTCTCTCCCTGTCACGTCCCCTCGTGTCACGTGTCACGGGTGTCTGGGGGTATTCGGTCCGGAGCTGCTCTGCCCTGCCGCCCAGCCCGGTTGTAGGTGTTTAAGGACAAGTCCCGGGGACTTGTAATCGGAGACTTGTAGTACGGGCTGTAGTTGGAGTCTAGGTGGTATTCTTATGTTGGCAGAAGGTGTTTGGAGCTGTGAAGTTACCCTGCAGCACTTTGACTTTTTTCCTAACTTTCTTTCAGATGCAGACGGTTTGACCTCGTGGCAGAGCAGCTATCCCAGATGATGGGGGTCCCCCTGAGAAGGTCAGTCACGGTTTTTCTTTGCAGCGGTGCTGGAACCGGTCACTGTGTTACATCTCTGCTCTTTGTCTTTGTTTCTAGGAAGTAAAGCCAGAAAGCAGCAGGGAGGGCGAAGCAGGTGGAAGGTGAGCCTCGGTTGGTGAAGAGCAGCCGTTGTTCCTGCTGGGGTCTCAGTTTCTGGTGCAACTCCAAGCATCCCTGCTTGTTTGTGTGTTTTAGGCTGCCTCCTGATGCTGTGCTGAGGCCCCCTCACTGGTCTCCCTAGAGACCCGGTTTGCTTCTCTGGTGAGCCCCAGCAAATATTACCGGAGTCCGTGACGAAGCCTCGACCTCGTCCACGTGTCGGTGCGCTCCCGGTACCCTTTAGGTGCGGCCGAGGAGTCGGGCGAGTCGCAAGGAGCGGCGAGGGCGCGCTCAACTTTTAGCGACGCTACATCGCCTCCTCTCCGTTTATCCTAGGCGAACCCTGCGATGACGGCGTCCGCCTCGGAGCATGGCTGAAGCGTGAGGCCCGAGGACCTGGGAGTTCCTAAGAGACGGTGAGTAGGAGTTGGGTTTTGGTGAATATGCTAGTAAGATTGTGCCCTTATATTTGGTTTTCTTTATCATAGGTGATGATATTTGTCTGAGACAACAGCCTGGTGAGAGAAGAACTTCCCAGACGGTGAGGTGGCTTTGTTTGGCTCCCGACCGGCCTCTCGCTGTGACTGACATCTTCAGCCCTCTGAGAGATAAGTGGAGCCCACAGAGGGGATCAAAGCAGGGCGGCGGTCGGGACTGAGATCAGTTTGGGTTTTTGAGTGAGCTTTGGGGATGGGGAGGTTCTGGAAATGACCCCATAGGCCCCAGCGAGGGAAAGCCTCACTTTGGTTTGCAATGCTGAGGCAGGCAGGGCAGAGCAGTCCCAGGGTGTGTTGTCACTTGTCTCTCGTGCCTTCTGTGTCTTCTGTGCATCTTGTGTAATGTGTCTCTTGCCTTAGTCCTCCCAGGGGCTTATGAGAAACCCCGGGGTCTTTCCGTTCATCTCCCATCTTTGCGTTCCTCGGCCCGACGCCGGCGAAGCTTCGATTCGGGAGGTCGGACACGTGTCAGAATCGCATTTGTCTTCAGAAGCACGTGATCTTTTTAGGTCTCGTTCTCAGCTGTGTCAACAGCTATATGCAGCAGTGTTTCTTTACAGTGGATAAGGACTTGTGCCGATTCAAAGGCAGGCAGAGGCTTCCAGCCACAGGATTCTCAGGCATCCGTCTCTGCGGTTCTTGGAAAAAGTTGTTCCGTTAGCATCTTTTTCCTCCGGGGTCATCCGAGCCCGGCAGGCTCGCCTCGGGTCCCTCCTCGGTCATCTCGTTCAGCATTCTCTCGGTCCTCGTGAGGACTTTCTTGTCTCAGAGTTTTCTCTCCCTGTCACGTCCCCTCGTGTCACGGGTGTCTGGGGATATTCGGTCCGGAGCTGCTCTGCCCTGCCGCCCAGCCCGGTTGTAGGTGTTTAAGGACAAGTCCCGGGGACTTGTAATCGGAGACTTGTAGTACGGGCTGTAGTTGGAGTCTAGGTGGTATTCTTATGTTGGCAGAAGGTGTTTGGAGCTGTGAAGTTACCCTGCAGCACTTTGACTTTTTTCCTAACTTTCTTTCAGATGCAGATGGATTGACCTCCTGGCAGAACACCTGTCCCAGATGAGGGGGTCCCCCTGAGAAGGTCGGTCACGGTTTTACTTTGCAGCGGGGCTGGAACCGGTCACTGTGTTACAGCTCTTCTGTTTGTATTTATTTCTAGGAAGTAAAGCCAGATAGCAGCGGGGAAGGCGAAGCAGGTGGA